CACACACACACACACACACAGAGAGACAGAAGGGCATACACTCCGAATCGACGCACTAGTTCGTGTTGCCCCTTTGACTTTTTTTTGGCTGATTTGTTTATTGATTTACGCATTGGCCGTTTGGTCCGCCACCTTCGGCATCCATGGCGCAACGCGGTTGACGGGGTAAGACATGCGCATGTGCATCTCCGGCCGGCGCATGTGCACGCGTGGCTCGAGGAAGCGTTTCGCCTCCAGCGGGATATCGACCGGCACCTTGAGTGTCACCTGCTGCTGCTGCTTCTCCATTGCTGTGAGGGCCTCATGCAGCCACTCCGCGTCCAACTCCTCCGTTCGGCGCAGGTGGTCGTGGATCGCCTGCGCGTGTGCCTTCGCCGCAGCAATCTGCTCGTGCACGAGGTGCGCCACCTCGCCCGCCTGCTCTTGGGTCACCTCCGCGACCTTCTGCGCGGGGTTGCCGGCCCACAGCTCCCACGCATGCACGCGCACATCCTTCGGCAGGTGCGCTCCTGCCGCCACGATGGCGCCATTCTCCACGACGGCGCCGAGTGCAACGGAGGCCCCCGGGCCGATGTACGCGCCATCACCGATGCTGCAGCAGTCGAGCGTAGTGCCAGGACCGATGTAGACGCCCTGCCCAACGCGCACCTGACCTAAGAACGACGCGCGGTCCATCACGACAGTGTGGTCGCCCACCACCGTCTCTTCACTCCCGTGGTAGTTGCGGATGACGGCGTGGTAGAAGATGCAGGCGTCGTGGCCGAGCACAACATTACCGCAGACAAACGCGCTCGGTGCGATGAAGGCGCAGTCCTGCGTCCACGGCAGCAGGCCCCGGTACGCGCGCACGTTCTGGTGCCGCATAACAGGATACATGTGGCGGCCTGTCTGCAGGTAGTGGCCCATGATGGCAAGCCGCGCCCCGACATCCTTCACCATGAAGGCAAGATACGGCACGAAGCCCGGCAGAACGGTTGCTGGCATCACCGTCTTGCGAAGTCGAGCACAAGAGCAATAAAATTCGATCACGAGGGAATAAGGATGCGCACACGCCGCACCCAACAATTACTAATTGGCACTAATGCGATCAAAACACCAATCGCTACTAAGCTGCAGTGCAGTGGTAGCACGAATAGATCACACGAAAGAAGAGAGAATGACACGAACGCAGTGGCGGGAAAACAGCCAGAGAGAGAGAGTGTGAGAGTGACAACAGTGGTCGAGAGAAGTAATACCGGCCTCACACCTTGACGTAAATTGGGGAGCGAATAGGCAAGCAAAGCAAAGGCCAAACAAAAAGAAAAACATCAACCACGATAATAGTCAAAAAGGGGGCATTCATCATCTAGTGATCTCGTGCTACTCATCGCACGAGAAACTCTACACCTCAAGAGTTGTTCATCGTCCGCTTCAGGCCCCACAGCAGTCTGAAGTCCTTTGCACCTTCACGACTTTGGCCCCAGCGAGTTCAAGTAGTCCCGCAGCGCTGCCAAGTCAGAGACGACGTTCTGCATCGAGTGCATCGCCGTCTCGTCGCCACCACGCTGAACATCTTCCGCGTAAGCGAAATCTTTATCTCCGCCACTGCCGCTATTGATGTGCGTGTCTAGTTCCTCATTCCCTCCGCCAATGTCATCGTTAGCATCGCCATCATCACCCTCGTGCCTTGGCTTGTGTGTGCTCCCGCGTACTCCAGCTGCCACTGAGGAAAGAGAACCCGAGTTGGAAGCGAAAGCTGATGGCGCTGAAGAGCTCCGTGAACGCCGCGCGTCTACCCGAGGCGCCTTTGAGCGAGGCAACACAACCTCCACTTCTGCCACTGCTTTGTTTACCCCCAGTGGAACAGCTTTCGGTGCCTGCGGGTCAGGCACCTGAAGCGCAAACTGAAGTGCCTCGTTGAGCCGCACCATCTCGTCTAATGCACCCTGAAGCTGCAGCACCTGCTCCACGAGAAGCTTCTTCTCCTGTTGCAGGCGCTCCAGCTCTGCTGCCTGTGCCTCCACATTACACTGTGCTGCGCCATGTCTTTTGTCCATTGTCTGCTGCAGTTCAGTGAGCTGCCGCTCCAACTCCTCTCGCCGCATGGCTTCCCGTGTGGCGAGAGCGTCCAACTGCTGCAGCTGATGATTTTTGGCACGCAGCTCTACCTCTAGTCTCTCGTTGTTCACAGTGAGATAGCGCTGGCCGTCCTCTAGCACACGGTTGACAGCCACCAGCTGCATCGACGTGTACCGTTCGCCTTCCAGGGCAGTGCGGTGTGGGCAGTGCACGTTTGGGCACAGCAAACCGATAGAGTCCGACACGTGGAAGGAGGTTTTGCTGCTCGGCACATGCCCGTCCAGCACCCCTGTTTGCATCACGGGCCTTGTCGTGTACTATTGTGTACACCTGTATCCCTTTGCTCTTGCTCTCACCCTCTCCCTCTGCTCACGTGCCTCTCTTCTTCAAACCCACACGTGAAGATGCCCTTCTTCGCGTTTCGATCAGGCATTTGCGCGTATGGAGGGAAGGAAGGAAGGAGGGGAAAGAGAAACCCCACAGAAAAAAAGGGAACAGCAGCAGCAATACACCACCACGAGAATGAGCATCACTACTACTACCACCACCACAACCACCACAACCCGAGTCACACGCTCCCTGGAATTTCATACAGAAAACTCGCATCCCTTTCTCATCAGGCGATAAGGCTTCGCGTAGCCCGCGACACTCAACGCGTCAGACGTCCACCCGGTCTCGCTGCTGCTGCTGCTGCTGCCGGCGTTGGGGTTGTTGCTGCAGAAGAAGGTGCCTTGGGAACTCTGCTACCACGACTACTGCGCTGCCGTGCACGCAGTACGTTACGCAGCGGCAGCAGTACACATCGCAGCATGTTGACCGCCACCACACAGAAGGAAAGCTGCAGTGAATACAGCGGGTACGTGACGGCGTTGGCCACGAGATAGTTGAGCAGCAGCCGCGGGGAAAAGCGCAGACCCCACAGTACAGGCCCCGCCTGCGACCAGCGATCCAAATCCAGCAGCCGCTCGACACCAGCGGCGCGCAGCCA